CTTTAATTTCTACAAGTAAGCTACAAACTCCCTTGATTTTGGACAGTCACAACTAGATGCTGGTACTAATGCTTCAAACTCTTCCCATAGATCTTTCAATTTCGAAAAGTATACTGATACAGATGATGTTCCTTGCGATAGAGTAGCAATTTCCTTGTGAAGATTGAAGGTTCTTGAACCATCTATCTTGTTGAACCTTTCAACCAAATCTTCCCAGACCACTTGTGCACTAGATGCATACATAATTCCTCCAAGAAGCCCTTTTCCAACTGAATTCATAATCCAAGAAAGAACAATTGTATTTACTCTTTCCGAGTGATTCCACATCATTTCTAAGAATCTTTCTTTTCTGTATGTGCCATCAACCATTCATAGTTTATTCCTGCCCAACAAAGTCACTCTCATAGACCTGAACCAAATTGAGTAATTCTCCATTCCAGTCAATTGAAAGAGATGATTTGAATCCCACTAATATTTGCAGGAGACAAGAATACCATTACAATAGTCAGGTTTCCACTCAAATATCACCAATTGCTGAAATGTTCTTCCTGTTGGATCCATAACAGTAATTTCATCTGGTAGGGGATTAGTAACATTAACCTCTATTAACATCCTTGCGAATGAAACTCTAGTCTGTTTTGCAGTACATTCATCAGCATATTTTGGCACTCCAATTGCACTGGCAATTCTACTTAGTGAATCTCTGCTCCAACAATTCATTGGTAGGCTAGGGAATCTCACCCACAGAGACAATTCAGTTAAGAATTCAACATTAAAATCAAATTCAGGGCACCATTGCTTTATAATCATCGGTTTATTGTTAATGCTATATGGCCCAGCATATTGAACTTCCTGCAGATCCGCAATCGACTTGAATTTTACTATATACTAACCTTCCTCGAGGTAATACACTTCCGGTTCAGCAACCATGTTCCAGTTTTGAATTATAAATCTTCTCATATAGTTATATCCTGGTATTTCCCCAATCACATAAACCACTAATGCTGCTTTCCATTTATCAGTTTCCCTATTCGTCTCATCCTTATCCAGTTTTACCATGACATTTCCATCAATCATTCAGGTGGTATGTAATCAAGTGACATACCGTTATTTGCTGCTCGATTGCGATTGAAAAGCCCAGACCATGATTTGCTTGTCTCTTGCTCCTCCACTGTTTGATTGACTTGCTTCACTTCTGGCTGTGTGATATGAATTGCTTCTGGTAATTGCATCTTTACAGGTTCACTTGAATTCAATTTCCTTGGTCCAGATGTCGATTTCCCTGATAGTAGTGGAGATAGAAGGGGAAATTGGTTTGTTAATGGAGTAACTACTTTCTGTTCGTTTCCATTCTCTAGTGTTTCTGCTATAACCCTAGCACTGACTGAGCTTCCTACTCTAACTACTGCATGTTTTTTGGGTCTTCCTCGCCCTCTAGCCATGGCCGCCGCTAACGGCGAAGATTAGCTTAACGGTCGCCTTAGTCTGGAGAGAGAAATTTTTCTTTTAAAGGCTAATATTATTAGGATGTAACAACAACAAGCCAGCGTAATCCCACAAGTGGGGTCTGGGGAGGGTAATATGTACGCAGACCTTATCTCTACCCGAGGGTCAGAGAGGCTGTTTCCAGGAGACCCTCGGCTCAAAGAGGCAACAAGAGACACTATATTAGTACTATCAATAGACTCATAATAAAACAACATAAAATACCATAAAATCCATAACATAACATAAATACCATAAAAACAAAGTAACAGCAATATAAGAGATATAGGAAATACGAGAAAGATGTAAGGTATTAATACACAGCAGATAAAGCCCATCATCAGTAGTTGATCAATAGCATCCTAAGACTAACTCCTAACTGGCTAGTCTCACTCTAGTGCGCTGTAAAAAAGACATCACAATTTCCCCTAACCTACAACCTTAATGCTCGATTATTAAGATGTAAGATTTTGATTTTTTTATTAGATAAAACTTAAATGAGTTATATTGGTAATATATATGTAGTTAACTATATATACACCACATATGCGTATTTAATATAAATAAACAAATTTTATGAATTAAACCAATTCTAAGCTTTTTTATAAGTGTATTATTTCTCATAGTAAAGAGGAAACAATATCTAATCCATTATCAGTTGCTAATATTTTCGTAAGTTATTTGATATTTCTTAAGACTTTATTAACTTATTGATATTTTTAAGACCGCGCGAAGCGCGGACAATTTTACTAGTAACATATTAAGAATAAGCAAAATACATAAGTTATCCCCTAAACTATGGATCAAATCCATGTTATACATTTTTTCCGGAAAAATCAACTATTCCGAAGTGTGGTTAAGGCACCTCACTTTTGACCAAGTAAATTACACGCAAAAGGGGCACGTGAAGAGGTGAAAAATGAGCATTTGAATTTTTTTTGAACGGTGTAGATTCGAGCAAATTGATCCAAAGGTCTAAATACTTTTTACCTTTTATCCTTTTATTCTTTTACCATTATACACAAAATACAAAAGAAAAGAAAAAAATAGCTAATGCTAAAACCTTCGTCCCCAACCTCCTTGCTCACTGGTCTTGTTCCCACGATAAACCTCATCCAAGCGCTCCAGTAAATCCAAGTAGGAAGAAAAAAAGAAATAATCTTTAGATTTAATATCTACTCTCGTGTTTTTCTCCAAAGCCATGGAGTTATCAATGAAACCCTTATCTTTTTGTCTTTTATCAGCCGAAAATGGAGTTCTTCTTGAAACTCCAGCCGGTGAAATAGTTTAAATTCTGCTTTAAGTTGAAAAAAGAAAGAAGTTAATACAGTTGGGTGCTTCATTTATATGAATATGACAGTAGCACAAGAAGAGAGTTAATGAGTTTTTCCTTGTAGGTTCTATCTGCCATGACTGCTAAGGATTTAGAGGAAAAATCATTGCACACTTTCACTACAACTTAACTGGTGCAAAATCAATAATCCATTTTAGATATCAATCAAAGAAATTCTGGGTTTTTCTTAAAGAATGGGAGAAGCAAGATGTTTTATGAGGGAATTTTCTGATTAATCGGAGAGGAAAGTGGACATGGGGAGGGGATGGGAAAGATAAGAGACGGGTGGGGTGGGGTTTGTTTTCTGATTTCTTTTTCTTATTTAAAAATTAATATCAATTGGGATGCAAATTATGCATTTTCTTCTCTTTTTTTTCCTTGAGTTATGACACATATTACGATTTAATTAGCGCGTGTGATGCAATCTCGAAGAAGAAGTGGTCAAACATAAAAAAGGTGTCTTAAGCACACTTCGGAAAGGTTGAATGTGTAAAGTAATTTTTGTCCGCAAGAAGTGTGTAACAGAGATTTGGTCCATAATTCAAAGGATAACTTATGTATTTTGTCTTAAGAATATGAAAAATATTTAATACAAAATTTATGATGTAGCATGGCTTTGTGTTATGGTGTTGGAGCATAAGAAATTATTTCTTTGTTGTCGTAATATATAGTAAGGTACCACAATACATTTAGGGCATTATGTATGATGTCATGGACTCGTCATGGTATTTCGTTAATTTCTTTTCCTTCACTATTGTTTGTGATAAGTCCTTCGTATATATTGTGAGATATATAGTATTGTTGTTGAATATTTATTTGTACCTTATGGAGTAGTTATATTGTGAAATAATTTATGTACATATTATTTTTGTGCTTGTTGTGTTTTTTGATCTTTTTAACATTTATTTCAGTAGTATTCAAAGTGGTGGGTCGAGAATATGACTGAGTATATTTATATATAACTCACTCCTTATTCAGTTATTGTGATGAGCTACTGCCTTAGTCATGGAGACTGCCAAAAGAGTTCTTTATTTTTATTTGTGATTGATTCCTTTTCTCTTCGGGTCTACACATCTCTTAGATGGTCTAGTGTGACTTTAAATTAATTTTGGGATATTAACATTCATGATTAATTATCAATATTAATTTATTAAATAATGCTAATTAAAGGTTAAGGTATATAAATATGGTTTTCCTGATAGTATGTGCTAGGGACCAATCATATTTATAGCTCGTTTGGCCAAAACCGTAAAAATCAGCTATTGTGAGAAGTACTTTTGAAAAAGTACTTTTGGCTAATTAATTTGAAAATTACTTCTAAGCAGCCATTAGTGTTTGGCCAAATTATTAAACTATTTCTAAGTGTATTTTTCTCAAAAGTGCTTTTGGAGAAAGACTATTTTTTTCTGCTCCAAAACTGCTTTTGTATCTCCTCGAAAATACCTTTTTTTTTCAAAAGCTTGACCAAACACTTTAATTTTTTTTTAAAAAAAATGCTTCCGAGATCAGAGAAGCTTGGCTATTAGATAGTTTAGGACGTGATAGAGCCCGTTTGGATTGGCTTGTTTTAAGTGTTTTTAAGCCAAAATAGCTTTTAAGTCATTTTGTAGTGTTTGAATAAAGTAAAAAGGTACTTTTAAGGTACTTTTAAGTAAAAAGGTACTTTTAAGCACTTGTTTTTAGGCTAAAATAACAAAAACAAGCCAAAAGCGAAAAATTAAAATTCATAACTTATGGCTTAAAAGCTATTTTGATTTGGATAACAATTAACTCACCAATTTCGCAAAACGTTAAATTGAAGTTTGTGTTGTCTGCACCAGAAGCTCCTGGACTTTCCCACAATTTTCCGCAATCATTCACATGAATATACCAAAATCCAAAACTCAAGACAAGGACCTCGTTACAACACTGTCCAACAACAACAACAACAACAATAACAACGCAGTGTAATTCCATAAGTGGGATCTGGGAGGGGTAATATATACGCAGACATTACCTCTACCCGAGGGGTAGAGAGGCTGTTTCCAGGAGACCCTCGGCTCAACGTTACAACACTGTCCAAAACAGCAAAATCTTGATCCAACGGCCATTAATCCCCTTCTCATCCTACGTCCCTGGACCCTTCTAGAATTGTCCTTTTACCAAAAATGTTCTCCTCTCTATATATAAACCCCTTTTCGTTTCAAGTCTTCACGATCATCGTTGGCTAGTTTGTTGCACTCTTTTTCAAGAAACGAACCAGACACCTTTTTTTGTTAAATTAGGAAAGTCTCAATTTTTTTTCACTTTGTAAGAAAATATGAGCTCAATTATGGCTGCAACTGCAACCCACCAAGTGAAAATCCCCGGATTTTCCGGGCTTAAACTCGACAAGAAAACACCATGCTTTGTATCAAGAGAGAAATGTTACAGCAACAAAGGAGTATTGAGGCAAAAGTACAGACCCATGAAAATAGTGAACGAGAAGGTGGTGGGGATAGATTTAGGTACAACAAACTCAGCAGTGGCAGTAATGGAAGGTGGACAACCGACAATAGTGACAAATGCGGAGGGACAAAGAACGACGCCGTCTGTGGTGGCGTATACGAAAAACGGCGATAGATTAGTCGGGCAAATAGCGAAAAGGCAAGCGGTGGTAAATCCTGAGAATACTTTTTTCTCGGTAAAGAGATTTATAGGGAGGAAGATGACGGAGGTTGATGAAGAATCGAAGCAGGTATCGTATAGAGTGATGAAGGATGAGAATGGGAATGTTAAACTTGAGTGTCCTGCTATTGGTAAGCAGTTTGCTCCTGAGGAAATTTCTGCTCAGGTATGTGCATGTTAATTATGCGCCCTATTTTATTTTTCAATAGTCCGAAATTTTATAATAATATTTCTATCTTTGTATTTTTTCAGTATGGAATTTAAAGGGGGG